TGAGCTCTATCTCTCTATCTCATCTTCAAAAGCTAAAGCTTGTTAGAATATTAGTTTGAAGGTCTTTCAGAAGGCTGAAGACTAGATGCTAGTCTAAATACCTGAAATACTAATGAAATAGACTTGAAATAACTTCAAATAGGTATTTATTCCAGTAGCAGATTCTTACAGATTTGATAAATCTATTCTTCTTATTTTGAATGAGCACAGCAGTTATCTTATCTTAGAGTTTAATTAAATCTACAAAGATAATATTATAATATATCTTTGCATGTTGTTTTATTCCTCTTACCTTCTGCAGTCACTAGATATAGGTATTTTTTTCAGTTTTAAAGTGAGCATATAGAGATCTAGTTTAGCAGTGAATGCAGTTTGAATTTAATATCATTTGAAAGACAGATTTTCTAAATGCTTATCTTGCAGTACACACTATAATCTTCAAATTTTAGACTATTTAAAATAGTTTTAAGATAGCTGAAATAGTGCTCTTTCAGTTTGATTACATTCTTCAGTAGCTAAATATTTAACTATGAACTTCTACTCTATTACATAGTAGCTTTAGCAATTCAATCATATTCTGAATGCTTCAAACATCTAGTAATACTCAGCAATTACACTAGCAGGTGAATAAAATTAAAGGTTTAGTGAAGGGTCAGCGTTAAGGCTTTGTGAAAGGTCTTAATCAAATTATCAAAGCCTATGAATATGAGATAGTCAGTGCTACAATTATAAAGAAGTAATATCAAAATAAATTCAATATCAATGAGATAAAAAAGTAAAAGTACAAGAGATTTAAATGCTGAATTGAGCAGAAAGTAGAAGATTTAACTAGTAAAAAAGTTCAAAGTCATCTAGTAGACTCTATAGAGCCTGCAGAGTTTGTTGAACAGTTAGTTATTCAACTTTTTGAGCCTTCAGCTGCTGAGCTCACAGCATATATATAAGTACTACAAAGATGCAGTAATTGTGAAATACTTAAACATACAAGACTAAGATATTCTCAATCAAGTGTAATTTAATTTAATTTAATTGAGCTTTGTTGCATTGAGATAATTTGAATTAAAAACTATGTAGTTGAGATACAGTGAATTTGCTGGCTGACTCAGAGTGATGACTGACTCAGTGTGAAATTGCATTAATGACTTCCACTAGATTCAGGGGCCCGTGAATATTACGTAATCACACAATGGATTACGTAATCACTAAACCGCCCCGAATATCATGTACATTGAATGAAATCTATATTTAAAACACCTGCAACTGCAACAAACCAAGAAGGAATTGAATTATAATATATTTGAATAGTGTAAAAAGCAAGCCTTTGAGGTTCTTATGTGATTGAATGCATCACAATTTGTATATTTTTTTATATCTCAATCTCTTCTACATATTTGCTCTTTAAATTTCTTAAAGTGATTTGACTTTTGCTTTGTGCTTAACTTCAGTGAGAGCTTCAATTCTGAGCTGGCTCAATACAATAACATGGCTTGAAAAGTAATTCCAGAGCTTCATCGCATCTCAAATGCTAATGTAAATGAAAATAACTAAGAAAAAGAGTCTTATCACAAAGAGCATCTATTGTATATAAATATAAGAGTTTATAGACTTGAGATAAAATGTTTATACAAATCACAAATGAAAATGATTCTCTCTTTGCAAGCAGCTTCTGTTACTTCTTGATTCTCTATAGTGTCTAATAAGACACTCAGTCTTATATAATTATATATAAAGCTTTTGAGAGCTCAAGAGAAATTTGAAGCTATTACTTTAATTGATTTGACTTCAGCTCAGCAAATTAATTAAAAAGAGCAAGTTGAATTGCTTTTTAGACTTTAAATAGATTAAATATTAATCTTTTCAAGTAGAACTTGAAAAGTGTATGAATTTCTTCTATATGAGAAATAACTGTATTGTCAAAATAAATTAAGTGATCAACTTAAACTTTTATAAGTCTTTTTTTGAATGAAATAAATTATATTATTTTAATATAGTAGATCTATTTATAGTAATCAGAGATATTTTTTTATTTAAAATCTGTTAAATATTCAAAGTATATTTTCTCTATAAATAAGTTGATAATTAAATATTAAAATTTATAGAAGTTCTTTTATTTTTCAATTTTAGAGAATTATGATTAACATTGAATAATAACTATTGTATTTATATATCAAAGATAGAGAAGCAGTATAACAGAAAAAAAGAGAATTGATATTGCATTTATAATTATAAGATAGTAATTTGTCAAAATAACTGATGAAAAGTGAGTGTAATTATAATATTAATACTATTTATACTAGCTCTTATATTGCTTATAACACTGATTATTATAATATTTATCTTCTCACACTATTTATCAAAGCACTTTAAAATCAGTATCTTCAATAGAATCAATATCATCTTAAGATTTAGCACTCAGAATCAGCATAAATCAGTATATTATAAAAATTAATTCTTTATAAATAGTACTTTCTGAAGAATAAAATTAACATTTTATAAAAAATTAGATCACTATATTACTAATTTCTCATTTCATAAAAGATTAAAGATAAAATCTATTACTACTAATTTATATATATAAATATTTTGAATTTTTAAAGTTTCTTTAAAAGATTTTGTGATTAGCTACTATTCAATTCTATATATAAATTTTCATTTATTGCTATTCTCTTTTCTCTATAGTACTCATCTTGTTTATATATCTACTCTATTATAATTCTAGTTATAGAGCTTTTTATACTTTCTTTTGACACTTAGTTCATTTATTCTAAATATTTTCATACTTTTTAATTACTTTAAGAGAGATTATCTGCTAAGTCTATAACAATAAGTTTGAAATATAATGTATAAACTGACATCTTACATATAATATTCAATGAAAAAGTATATATAGAAGAAATTCTCTATGAACAATCATCAAGTTTAACTTTAGAAAGAAATATTAAAGAATATAATACATTAGTTAATAAAGAGATTCAAATAATTTAATAAAAATAAAAATATTAAAAAATATATAAAAATATTCTTTAACTACAATAGTAAGTCAATACTTTTAGTGTAGAACTTTAAATCTTTAGAAGCAAGCAGCACAGAATAAAGCTAACAGATTATACTATTAATATCAATATTACTTTTTTTAAGTCTTATTCTGCATCAATTTAAAAATTATTAAATGAGTTTAAGATAAAAAGTCTCAAAAAATTAGAAGATTTTATCTTTTCAAGTTTTGTCTTCTATGTCTATCAAAGATATTACTTCAAAGATGATGATAAA